TTTCCACTCCTGGGTATTTGTTGTACGAGTATGTTGAAGCTCGAGATGTTGCTTGTAACTTTGGTACCTATCGCCAGGAGCGGGCCGTTAGTCATCAGCAAGCTCCCTCGGCCCCGCCATGAACCTCCCCGAAAAAAGTAGTTTGACGTCCCCTAACTTGGAAAGATAGGTACCTACAAACCACCTGCATTTACAGACCCGTGAAAACAACGACGTCTTGTTCAACAAATTCGTGGCATCAGCCCCAATCGTCGCCATTGCATACACAGCCAGCTAAAAGGAAGCTTCAAAAGAGTCATCCAGCTACATCCCAACAAGTATCAGCATCACACAACTTTTGCGACAAGGAAGAGGAGTGAGCAAGCTTGCAACTTCGCCGAGCATGCCAAAAGAGAAAAACTACAACCCGGTGCAAGCCCAGCGCAAGGCCGACAAGGCTCGCGAAGTCCGAAAAGGTAAGCAACTCACCTATTTCATACCCCCGGAGAATGAGAGAAGAGCAAAACAAAGAGAAGAAAAAGAAGAGAGGAACGAAGCCATCTAACAAGAGCAATTTGCGCCTCGTCTGCAGGAAAGGCCGAAGCGCAAGGCCGGCGGAATGAAAAGCTCGCGCGCAAGAACCCAGACCGAATCCAGAAGCAAATCGACGACCTCAAGGCCGTGACCGCGGGCGGCGGCAAGCTGACGCGTCATGAAGAGCAGGTGCTCGAGGGCCTGGAGAAGGAGCTCCTGTCGGTGCGCAAGGCCAGAGACACGCTGGGCGACAAGGCGCCGAGCTTCGGGCGCGGCTGGAGGAGAGACGACGACGGTTCGAGGTCCGGGGCGCTGGGAAAGCGGCGGCGCGGCGACGGCGACGGGTCGAGTAGCGATGACGATGTTGCAGACGACGTGAGGAGCATCCCCATGCCGAGAGACACGCCGCCGCCGATACCAAAGGCCGAAATGGACAAGTGGTACGCGAAGCGGAGGGCGAAGCGCAATGCCGACAACGCAGCCCGACGACGCGATGCGGGCGACGACGAAGCCCAAGACGGCGAGGACAACGACAGAGGCAAAGGCAAAGGCAGGGACAGGGACAGGGGGCAAAGGAATGCGGCGCCGGTGGTGGAGTCGAGGACCGTCTACGAGGCAAAGCCGGTGGTGCGAGATCTGCGCAAGGAGGCCGTGGCGGCGTTTGTGCCCACGTCGGTGCAGATGAAGATGAGCAAGGGCAAGGGACAGGGCGGACTGATGGAGCCCGAGGAGGCCGATCGGCTGGAGAAGGAGGGATACCTCAAGGCGGCTTCTGGAGGTGGTGGTCGAGATGAGGAAGAAGGGGAAGATGAAGCCGACGCCGAAGCCGCAGCAGCGCCCTCTCGGCATGTCGTGATGGAGGAGGTGGAAGACGAGGATGCATAAAAGGCGTCATCCTGCTTGCCGCCTCGTCTTTTCTTGCATTGGTTTGGCGCGCTCTGGTTCTTATGGTTCACGGCGTTATTTTTGGTCCTTTTTCTTGAGACACATCAAGCTCACGAGTTGAGCCTCATGGCGGGAGGCGGGTTTAACAAGACATGTCCAATTGTGTAGTCCAATCCCCAACTTTTAGGACGGCAGAAGCCCATCATGATCTCCTGAATTTTTGAGGCCTTCTGCAATCGTGATGAATAGATGCAGCACTCCCGAGATTAGGTCAACTTGGTCGGACCGGCATGTCGGTTGATATTCCCAATTGATGTCTCGCATCTTCAAAAGAAATTCCGGTCGTGCATAAAAGAAAATTTTCCTCTTCTCAGACCAGGACAACAACCCCTGAACAGACATGACACCTAAACTCTTCCTTCTTCTCCCATGTCATCTTCTCGTTCCTTGGCAATGACAGTTACCATTCGTAATGCTTTTCGACATTATACGAGATTTCTCCAGATTATTATTGTTTTTTTTTTCCTTCTTCGCCCCCATCCATCCTCCACAATGGAGACTTCCGATAGGTGGAGAAGCCCGGAGTGCTCCGTCTCCCGTTGTTGGAAAAACACACGACACGCCGCTAAACTCAACGATGGAGTCTTTCGGTCACTCTCGGCAGACGGCTGGGCGGGCGGATCTCAATTAGTCAAATCTTTATTATTCGGAGAGATTTGCTCAGTGACGGGGGTTGTCTTGGTGGTGTGGGCAAGCCGGGCTGGGGGTAGAGTGAGTGAGAGACGCCGAGAAAGAGCGAGAGAGAGGTTGAAAACGCCATTTCCAAGACGGCTGATCTAATAGCAGTTGCCGGCTTATCAAATCGACGAGCAGGGCATTGATTGGAATCACACAATCAACAGCCATACCCTGTTGCCGGTAAGGACAGCCGACAATGGCAGAGAGAGAGAGAGACACACACACACACCAAGAGGGAAAAAGAGGATCTCCTGTCAGGGCCGAGTTGTGGAACTGGCAAAGCAGCAAATGGCGAGTTTCCATTACCTACAACTCGGCCCTCTTCTCCCACGATCTCGGCACAGCGAGCTCTCAAGCTGGGGGGAAGCGGTTCCACTCCGACGACGAGCGAACGGGTGTCGCCCCACGCCGACCGCGGATATAAGAGTCCAATGGGGAAAAAAAAAGAGTAGCTGCTGCTACTGTCGGTATTAGTACTTGTAGGGCGCCTGTTTTGACATTTTGCCCGAGCACGACGTCCAAAGGACTGCCCTCTTCCTTGTTCCAATTTCTCCTCTCATTGAGTTGCTGCAACTGTGTTGAGTTCCTTTTTGGTTCATGGTTGCTCAACTGTCAACCACTTGATGCTTGATACTTTGGCGGTGTTTCCGTGTCTTGTGTGTCGGCGTATAAAAAAGAGTCGGGAAACTAGGGAAACAAGTTGACTTGGGGACAAGGAGAAACTTTTCTAGACGAGCAAACGGAGAGAGAGGGGGGTGTTAAACCAGCAACAACAGAAATCATGGACGCCCAACAGGTCAACTCGAGAGCGATCCACGATGAAGACGACCCTATGCCCGAGTTCAACAATGCCGAGTCGTCAGACGACAAGGCCTCATCAGCAGCAGCAGATGCCGGCGAAAAGGGCGCCACGACGGGCGAAAACGAAAAGGAACTGTCACAACAACAACAACAACGACAAGTCAACGACGATGACCTGGAGCGACAACACACGATGAGGTCAACGGCATCGTACCAAGAGACTTATCCCGAAGGCGGCCTTCAGGCATGGCTCGTCGTGGCGGGCTCGTGGTTCGCCATGATCGCCTCCATGGGCCTGATGAACAGCATCGCCGTCTTCCAGGCCTACACGCTCAGCCACCAGCTCAAGGACCACAGCGAGGGCACCGTCGGCTGGATCTTTTCCATCTACACCTGGCTGGCCTTCTTCGGTGGCGTCTATATCGGTCCCGTCTTCGACAAGTATGGACCGAGGTGGCTTGTCGTCGCCGGATGTGCGTGTACCGTGGGGGCCTTGATCGGCATGAGCTTCTGCACAGGCAAGTCTTTTTTTTTTCTTCTTGTTTTATAATCTTCATGTCACGAATTCTGCCTCTTCTCTTTGTCTTCCCCCGTTCCGTCCCAAACTTCATGGACTGACCTGAAAACTTCAGAGCTCTGGCAGTTCATCCTATCCTTTGGCATCCTAGGCGGCATGGGAACGTCACTCACCTTCACCCCGTGCATTGCCGCGGTAGGCCATTGGTTCAAGGCAAGACGAGGCTTTGCCACCGGGCTTGCGTCAACGGCGGGAGGCATCGGGGGCATCGTCTTCCCCCTCATGCTCACCGACCTGTTTGCGCGTATCGGCTTCGGTTGGGCCACTCGAGTGCTCGCCTTGATATGCCTCGTGTGCGGGCTCACAGGCATCTGCCTCGTCCGATCCCGTCTGCCACCGGCCAAGAACGCAACAGCTCATCCCGACTTCCGCATCTTTCGGCAGATTCCCTTCCTCCTGACGACTCTGGCCATCTTCCTGTTGGAGTTTTCCCTCTTCATCCCCCTGGCTTACATCGCTACCTACGCACAGGACCAGGGCTTCGGCGATGCATTCGCCTACCACCTCTTGCCAATCATGAATGCCGGCTCCGTGATAGGCCGGGCGCTTCCAGGATACTACGCCGACGTCGTTGGAGCCTTCAACGTGTGCATGTTTTCAGTGGTGCTCTCGTTGGTGTCGTGCCTGTGTGTGTGGCTGCCCCTGGGACACACAAAGGCGGGCATCATCGTCTTCTCATTGCTCTTCGGCTTCGGAAGTGGTAACAGCATTGCCATCGCGCCGGTTTGCATTGGTCGGATGTGCAAGACGCAAGAGTACGGCCGATACTATGCCACCACCTACACCATCGTGTCCTTTGCCTGCCTGATTGGCATCCCCATTGCCGGCAGCATCGTTCAGGCCGATGGCGGCTCCTACACGGGGCTCATCATCTTCACCGGCTGCATCTACGTGGGCTCGGCAATCCTCCTCATGCTTGCCAAGACCTGGCAGCTAGGCTGGAAGAATTGGCTTGCTGCGTATTGAGACAAGGCGTCATTCGTCTCCCTTCCCACAGAGACGGTTTATAAGCACATTCATCTGCCTGTGTTCCTCTTCTAGTGATTTCCTTTTTGGAGGACCGGCAGCTGTTAAAATGATTCATTTCATCGATAGATATCCAAATGGTTCGGCGTTGGTGTTTCGGTTGGTTAGGGGGGAAAAAAGTATTTGCACACAATCAAGGAACAGTCCATGTTCTCATCGCATTTTTAAGATTTTTTTTTTTGTAGCAGAGAGTTATGCAAGGTTATCTAAGTTGCATAGAGAGATGAAAAGATATATGAAAGCGAACAAAGAAATGAAAATTAACTTGAAGTTTGCTTGACTTCCTTGTCCGCGGTGCTGGGTGGTATCATGATGCGTATGCTGCCCTTGCGTTGGATCTCTTATATTCAAGTTTTTGGGTTTTGTTTTCTGCTGCTCCTGTCAGTATTTTTGGTCTGCTCCTCTAAATCCAATTCGGCGATCCAATTCGTCGCGTGAGAAGAATTGGCTCTTGTCTGGTCTATTTCTTTTCGGCATTGTTTGACTTTGCAATATGCGCATCGTGAAGTTCTGCTACAGCTGGTATGATCAAAGCTTCAATCTCCTCTTCTGGATCTCCCTCGGGCGCCTCGTCCGGTCGTAGCGGCCTCCCCTCGGCATCGCCCCAGCCGCCGAGTCGGGCCACACGGAGCCAGCGGTCCTCGCGGCCTGGAGCAACAAAGACAACCTCCCATTTGCGCGTCGAGAGGAGGTTTCCCACGACGAGGTGGTGCTGGTAGCGCTCGAGGCTGTAACGCGCCTTGTGGACGAGGATGCGGGGATCTGTCTCGAGCTTGAAGCTGACAATCATGCCCAAGGGAGCCCAGCCCTCGACGAGGCTCTTGAGGAACTTGGGTACGGGATCGAGATCGATAATGAGGCGCTTGGAACGCGGCACGCGGGGGGAGGCGTCAAAGTTGTCAAACGTCTCTTCGTCTTCGATTTGCGGCGACGGCGACGGCGACGATGCGTTCTTCGGGTAGAGCTTTTCAACTATGTTGGTCGACTGGATCTTGTGCTCCGAAAGACGCTCCGGCGGGACGAAGAAGTCGGACACGGCCGCGGCAAGATAGAGCAGACCGGACGATCCCAACGGCGCCATAAGCCGAGCCACGGCGCGAAGCTCGTGCAAGTAATCGCCAATGGTGACAAAGGGCAGCAGCAGGAGCATATTGTCGCGGCGGGCGCTCTGGTACTTGCGCAGGACGTCGAGGATCCTGACAGAGTCGTCGGGTCGCACAGCGACGTGGCCGTCGGAATCCTCGTGGAGGAGGTCAAGAAGACAGTCGGTGGAGTGGGAGTAATGGCGCGAGTAGGGCAGCAGGCTGAACTGGCGATGGAGGAAGATGACGGCGTATCCAGCAGAGAGGAAGTACTCGGCACTGGTGGCACCACGGGTACCGGCAGAGAAGTTCTAGCCGAGCTCGGTTCGATTTTAGCACAGCTCTTGTAGAAATTGATTGCATTCATTCTGATACCAAGGGGAGAAAGAGAAAAGAACAAGCGAGCACGAGAACAAACGGACCACATACGTCAATGAACCTCACAGTGTTCTTCTCCAGCGGAACCGTCGTTCCTCCCGACGTGACGAGCACGACTCGCCGGTTTGCCGCGGCATGTTGCGTGATGAAGGTCTCGGCCAGCGCAGTGTGGGCGGCAAGCTGCTTGGGAGGAGGATTGCTGGCGAAGTAGGCGTCCTCGGCCTGGAGAGACTCTGTCGCAGACATTGTTGCGATTCTGGCCTTTTGTCTGCGTCTCGGTGGAGTTGCAGGAAGACGAATGGATGAAATGGGCCGGTTGCCGAGCTAATAGGTACCTTCCAGTAGGTTGGTATGCTTCAAGATGCAGGTACTTTAGTAGTGCCTAGTAGGGATGGCGGGGTTTATCTGATAAGATAGATCAATGTCAAAAGTTCGTACCGTAGCAGACAAGAGCTGGTTGCGCCTTTGTTTAAACGACCAGCTCGGTTTGTTACCTTAGTAGGTAGTACCTAGTAGTACTTACATCTAAAGAATACCTTGTATCAAGTACATTAATTGTGATGATGACGTGGAAAGGGAAAAAAGACCAAGACGAATAACAACCCTCCTCGCCGCGACTAATATATCTAAGCTGTGCTCACAACTACGAAGCAGCTCCCATCATGATATCACCGACCAACCGGCCCATGTGCTGGGCACGGAGCAATGGAAGTCTGCTCTGTCATACCATTCGTCATGATACATTTCCATCGTGACACATTATCTGCACCATCATATGCCCTTCAACTAACAACTCCTGCCCAGCCACGGCTAGATAATACATGCTGTACAGTATGCGGGACATGGATATCGGTGCCTACTGACAGCTGTTTATTACCTACCTCTTTTGACCGACAAACTTCCGCCGGCTCCGGCATCAAGTTTCCCAAGGCCCGAACACTCCGAACCGGCGCCGGTCACCGGGGGAGGGGGGGGCCTCGGCTCCGCACGGATTCCGTCCCAACACAATGTTTCTGTCTCTACCAGGCTTTCAAGTTCGCATGTTATACATGACAAACCATGGCAAGTGATATCAAAAGTACGAATCTATATACATACGGACATGTAGTATTTATTGCGCCCTTCATCTAGCCTTTTCTCTATTTGTTACCGCCGCCGGCCAACCTCCACGCCCTCAGCGGCAGGCTCTGCAAGTGCAGCACCTTTGGCTTGATATACCACATGAATGTCGCCACGCCGAACACGACGCAGAGGACGTTGACAGTGTAATATCCGTCGCGCATCATCTCGCAGCTTCCGCCGCCGTTTAGGCACCGTTCCTTCTCCCCCTGAATGGCGCACGAGAAGGATTCCGTGACAAGAGGGCCCTTCAAGTTGCTCGTGCTCTTGGAGCCGGGATGGCAAGTCGCAACAGTAAAGGCGTCTACAAGCTTCAAGACGAAATACCGAGGAAATGTGCCTCCAAGGTTAGAAACGCTAGAAACCATGATCGTCAGCAAAACGTGCATACACACACATACGTACTAGGCATATACATGTCAAGTCATGACAAGATGAAAACTCACGTTGCGAGGAGCGTCATATAAGTGCCTCCAATGACCGGATCAGATACCTTGGCATGGAATGCCGAGATGGCGACAAACATGATGGTGTTTGTAAATGTCGAAAACACGTGCTCGCCAATGACGACGAGGAGATACCACGTCGTCACTCCCTCCGCCGGGAAAATGGCCACGGTGACTTGAGCAATCAGTGCGGCCAACAGGCGGCCCGCGAAGCCCCAGCACCACAGCCGCATGGGCGTGTACTTTTGCGACCACATGCCGGCGTAGTATCCAACGCCAATCTCAAAGGGAAAGTCGATGAGGACGGTGAGGGCCATGTTGTCCTTGCCGAAGCCCTTGTCGAGGAGCTTGAGGTTGGTGACGCCGTCGTTGGCCTGGAAGCCAATCTTGGCAATCAGGTGCACGATGATGATGGTCTGCACGTTGCGGAGCTTGAGGATCCCCCACATGATGCGGTACACGTCCCAAACGCCGTCCTCGTTCTGCGACTTTTCTTCGCGCTTGAGCAGGCCCAGTCCAATGGTGACGACGATGTAGACCCATCCCCAAAAGGTGAGGTAGCCGCCGAGCGAGACGAGACCATCGTCGGAGGGCGTGTTTCGGAACCACTTGTTGGCAAAGTCGGAGGCGTTGAGAGCGAGGAAGACTGTGTAGGACATGAAGTGGCCCGCCGTCAGGCCCACGGTCTGCGCCGTGGAAGCATACGACACGTTTCCCGGAGTCAGCAGCGTGAGGGCCCAGCCGTCGACGGCAATATCCTGCGTCGCGCACATGAGCACCAAGAAGAACCACCAGAGCATAAAGGACCAGACGGTGGGGCCCTCGGCCTTGCCAATCTTTTCCATCATGTCCTCGACGTTGGACCCCAGCCAGAGCATGCCGAAGCCGGACAGGAACTGGATGGGCACGATCCAAGTCTTCCGCCGGCCAATCTTGGAGCTCCATACCGCGTCGACAAACGGGCTCCAAAACAGCTTGAGCGAGTAGGGATACGACGCCAGGCTAAAGGTGCCGATTTCGCCATACGACATGTGGTTCTTGAGCAGGAAGGGCACGGAGCCCATGGCGAGCCCCATGGGGATACCCTGCAAGAAGTAGAGCAAGACCAGCAGCAGAAAGCTCCTCTGGTCCTGCGCGGGCAGCTGGAAGAAGCCCACGTCGGTCGAGGTCGGCGTCTTGGGCACGGGGTGGTCTAGGGAGAAGCCCTCGCGGGAAATGTGGTTCGCCGCGATGCTGTCCGGATCCTGGTGCGTGGCGGTTTTGCGCCGCATCTCCACGCCGTTGCTCATCTTGCCGTTGCCGTTCTCCTCCCGCTTGAGCGAGAGGGAGGGGAGTGGCTTTGACGCGGGCGACTGAGGTCGTCTTGTACGGAGACCCATATAGGACGGTGTGAACTCGCTTCGAGTCGGCAGCGCAAACAATTCAAAAGGCAGTGTGCGGGTGCGGTGCGCTGGTTGCGTTTGCGCGTCTCGGATCGTCGGCCGGTGTGAGGGGGCACAAAAAGGGCGGTAAGGGAGGACGCTTGCTAGTCTAAATGCACTGTTTTCTTCTGCCCAAGGTCGCAGATAGGCAGGAAAGACGGCAATCGCAACAGCAGAGCAGTCGAGGCTTTGGTGATGAAAAGAATGGTGTTTGAAAACAGTCGGGACCAACCGTGTAGCGCGGGTAGCGTGCAGACCGACAGACGGCGACAAAAACGAAAACGAAAACCGTAGAGAAGGAGGAGAACACAAGCGCACCAGCCAAGAACCGGCCGCAGTTTGAAAAGAAAAAAGAAGAAAAAAAAATAGAGCAGCCCGTCTAGTGCATCCAGGCAGCAGTTCGTCGAGAGGAGTCGTGGGAATGATTGGAGTCTTTTTGGCGGCCTGGGCTGGTGTGTTTTGCGCAAACTGGAAGCTACCGTGGCCACAACTTTCAAGGGTCTTTTTTTGCCCGGCGCGGCTTACAAAAGAACGGAGGCGAGCCTTGCCACCGACTCCAGCTCGAAGCAGCAAGCGTTGAATGGAAAACGAGAGTTTTTGGCCGCCAGGAACGGGGACTAGCGTGTCATGGCCATGCAGTTGGTTGGATACTATAGTACCTAGAAAGTACCTACTAGACCTGTATATGCCTTCTCTTACAAAAAGATTACAACATGTACAGTACACACAGGTACGGAATACAGCCTTGGTCTCATCACGTCAAGATGGCAGTCAGTCAGTGTCCACAAAGCTCCGTGACAAACACCTCCTTTCTAATATTTAGGTAGTACAACATCCAGACGCGCAAGCATCAAGTCAGTCAGTGAATGAATCAATACGAGATCAATGTTACATGAAAGGCAAAAGATGCGGGTTTCAGCACCAATCAGCGGCCACCCGCACGCAGCGTCAGGGCGCGCGAGAAGTTGTGTGGGGAAAAGGCGGAACAAATAAGATCCAACCGTTCCGTCAGGGGTCGCTGCTGCTTTGGGAATTTCCGTTCGGCTCGGCTCATCGCATGACAGGCTTGGCCGGGCTTGTCTTATCTTATCGGCGGGCCTGCATCATCGAGCCATCATATGCTGCAATGCATCAACAACATCAACACCAGTCAAAAGTCAACAAAGACACGCGACCATTCTCTTTTGCAGCAGCAGCAGCAGCAGCAGCAGCAGCAGCATTTCTGCCCGGCTCAGAGCAGAGCAGCTCAAAGCAGAGATGGATCCAGCCGTGGACGAACTGCAGTCCAATCCCCTCGACGAGGAAATTGCGTCTCTCCAAAAACAAGGCAAGCAAATCGCGTCAAATCGCTTTGCGCATCCCATCGCAACACTCGCATTCATTCATTCACTCACTCACTCCCAAAGCTAACCATTACTAACGACGACAACAACAACACAGTCGCCCGCCTCCGCAAAACCATCAAAATCGAATGCTCAACCATCCTCTCCTCCCCCTCCATCAAAGAAGCCCTCGTCTCCTCCCTAAACCCCCAGCCCTCCCCCAAATCCGCCGCCCTCCGCCCTCGCAAGCCCCGAAAGTCCGTCGACCGCGACGAGCAGCTCCTCCTCGCCCGCTCCAAGCAGCAAGAGGCCTACAACCAGCAGTGCCTCTACCGCATCTCCGCCTCCGTCACCGCCTTCAAGGTCCACGATCCCGACCCCAATGCCGTCGACGGCGGACACGTGCTCGGCCTGCGCTTCGAGGTCATGACGCGCGGCCAGTTCCTGCAGCCTTACTACGTTATGCTGAACCGCCCGTATGCCAACAGTGGCAAGACCCTGCGCGTACATCGCCACACCGTTCCGCCGGCAATCCCGCTGCCGGGCCTGGCGGCGAGGCACTTGCCTGTGCCTAAGCAGCAGTTGGACAAGGACAGCTCAATAGCCCCGCCCAAACAGGACCTTGAGGGATTTGTAAAATCCCTGAGGAGAGAGATTATGAGATACCACAACAGGCTGGGCGTTTCAGCGGACCTGCGGCGCAGTCTAGGAGCCCACAGCCGGGCGGCGGCGGCAGATGGGTCATCGCTGCCTTCGAATACCATTGTCGACGTCAGCATTGCGGACACCGAAGCGAAGCAAATCCGGTTGACCTGGGCTGATGAGCGAAATGGCCGCCTGGTCATGGACGACGATGGTAAAGTGGTCAAGTTCATGGTCTTTGGTGCAGAGGGGAGAGACTGGGAGACAACAAAACAGCTCACGGACAGTCAGGGGCGGGTCGAGGATGTCGCCAAGATGTTGGAAGAGTACGCGGCTGGGAGGGAATCATGATGTTTTCTGTCAATGTTCAAAAAACAAGGCGTCCAAGGGGAATTCAATACAAGCACGGCGTCCAGGTCTGAGGAGCAAGGATATAAACATCCCAATGGGGGACGGAACACTGCGCGTCATTTACAATTTCGATTCATCCATTATAAAGACAGACTCGATGAGGAGGGAAGCAACATCACATTCAAACATCTGTGGAGTGTCAGCTGCAACATATAGGCACGGCGTCACACGAAAAAAAAAAAAAAAGCAAAGTTCTATAAAGAATCAATTCAATCACAACCAACTATCGAAACCCTGCTTCCCATACCTCGACTCCGCCTGTCTATCGCCTGTCGAGCGTATCTCCAGCTTCTTTGCACGCCAGCGTAGCCCCCTTCATGAGAAACTCAAAATTAAATACTGAATTCAATAAACAAAAAAGAGGCAGTGGGCTTGTGTTTCCCCACCAGACGTCCCATAACTCATCAAGGTATGTGCAGTATTTTACATGTCTCCCTCTGGAGCATTAGATACACTGCCATTACAGCCTCCCTCACTCGTCCGCTCTGTTGGTTTTTACCCTTACAGGAACAAAGCAGCAATGACACCTCCAAAGAGAGCCATGCTGACGCCCTGGGCACGGCTAACAGCGCCGTTGATTGGCAGGGGAGTGGTGCCGTTTCCGGTACCGGTAGGGGCCGCAGCACCGGGAGCAGTGCCGGCAGGAGGAGGGGCGCAGTAGGCACCGCTGCAGCCATCGGCAGGGAAAGAGGGAGCGTTGGGAGGAGCAGAGTAGGAGGGGGGAGCGGCGGGAGCAGAGGGAGCAGAGGGAGCAGAGGGAGAGCAGTTGTCGCCAGAGCAGCCGGCAGGAGAAGACTGAGTGGGAGGAGAATAGACGGAGGTGGACGGAGCGGTGTTGAGAGCCGGGGCCGAGCTGTTGCCGGGCACGGGGTAAACAGGAGCCGAGGCGGGAGCCGAGGGGACAACGGGAGGAACCGAGCTGCCACCGTTGCCCGGAGCCGGGTTGGAGGCAGGTCCGGTGGGAGCCGGAAGAGTCTGAGTGCTCAGGGTGACGACGCCGGTGTTGGTCGCAACGGGAGCGGAGGGAGCGGCCGAGGAAGCGGCCGGAGGATACGCCCCGGTGGAAGGGCCGCCAGGGTGGGCGGTCTTGGAAGCCTCGACAGGGCAGAAGGTGGTGGTCTCGGGGATGACAATCGTGGTGGTGTGGTGGCCATTGGCAGGGCAGTTGGTGACGGTGGGAGCACAGCTAATGACGGTATGGATCGAGGTCACGCTGACCGTGCTGACGCTCCAGACATGATCGGCCTGCTCGGGCTTGCAGTTATCGCCACAAGGATGAACCCAATGCCAGTCATGGTTGGCCTCGTCGTCACACGAGTCCATCACAACTGAACCATGTGGTGGATGCCAAATGTTAACATAGCCAGCAGGAGGAGCGGAAGTGGGCTTGTTCTCGGTGACGGCCTGCTCGTCGATGCCCTGGGGCAGATGAACGCTGAGGCCGACGCCCACGTCAATAGCCTTGGTCATGTCGACGTTGAGACCCAGCTCAAGGAGACTACGACTGGCCATGGCCGTGGCAGCCGTGGCAGCAAGAATAAAGGACTTCATGGTGATGAAATGAATGTGTTTGAGTGAGTGGACGGGTCAAAAGATCCCAAAGGGGTGAGTTGAAAGAATGCAGGGGGCGAGTAAAAGGTACAACAAGGCTTGCTGAGGAGAAGAGAGTCAAGAAAAAGCTCGGCATCCAGGAGGCGAGATGATGGTCTTAAGTAGCCCTCTGAGTCTGGTCCATTAGGATGGGCAAAAGCTTGTTTTCTTGTTCAATCTTCATCTGCCCTCCACATCCTTCGCTTCGCCTTCAACCCTAGAGCCCCCCCTCATGGGTCGTCATGGAACAACCCCGTTATTGCGGGCAAGCTTAAGAGGGGGGTCGGCTCATCAGGAAATTGGAAACAGAGACAGCCGTAGTTACACCCAAGGGGGGAGAGCGCCTCCTAGCAACCGAAGATCAGATACATGCTGGTAATAATAGCAGTAGGTACCTACCTTAGTGCAGGTAATAACACAGCATCAAGTTGTGGTCGATCCTGACACATGACTCCGTGCATCAGCGGAGCACGACGGTGGCAGTGACAACATTGGGTGGCACCCATCGTTTGTCTTGCCAGTTGCGTGGTGTCTGGTTTTAGATTGTTGGAGCGAGCATGGCAGTCTCAAGCTGACACTAGCTTGTCATCTCCCTCTCCTTCCTCTGGCACCGATACATCCAGGTGCTCATCGAGTCTCAGAGCACAGGGCTCGAAGAGGAGACAATAACAAAGACACCAGCCACGAAACGGCCTTGTGCCCTTGCATGAAGCAGTCATGGGGCAGATCGGACGCTGTTCCTGCGCTAGCGACAGGAGAGAGAGCCTCGCTTGGGAAGCACCGCACATCATTCTCTAGCACTCGCTTTAGCGATATCAGCGTCTCCTCCCTTGCCTTTCTCTCCCCCTTTTTAGGAGGGCACTCTCTCTCCTTGCTTGAGGACCAAACGTGGGACTGTCGCCGGCGTTCTTTGCATGTCCGTTGTGTCAAAACTCTCTGGTGGAAAGACACCGAGGTGTCCAGAATAACCTGGTAAACCACATCTTGTCTCAATAGCCTTAGCTCCATGTAGCACAAGACAGCGTGTGTACGAGTGAGGGCACTTCTGTAAATACCTACATGACCCACTCAAGCGCCATGTCCGTCAACCCCGGTCATCTGTCGATGGAGTCCCTAATGAATATGATTAATTGTGGAGGCCCGGTGGGTGATCATCGCGCACCAGCTTCTTCCGTAGCATGCGGGTAGATTTGGTCGGCTTTTGACCACAGCTCCCGGCCGCCACCGAGAGCGGCTTGGACACGAGCCTCGTTCTATAAGTTTGCTCAATGTGGCAATGACAATGACGGCCACCAGAACTCCGTGGCATGATGCCGTGCAGCAGCAGTTTCGCCAGCAGCGTGGTCAACTTCTATGCTCAACACAACACACACACTGACACGCCATAGCCTTCCGCGCTCTCACTTCAATACCAAACCGTTGTTCATCAGTGACAATCACATCTTGTCCATGCAATATTCGCCTCATGACAAGTCATGGCGGATAGGCGGGTCCTTCACCCAAAAGGCCATTTAATTTCCGCACCCCGGCCGGCACGCTCCCTGTATGCTGAGCTGGCTCCTCATGCAAGACGGTCGTCGCCCTGTCCGGCCGTGCTGGAAATAGCATCGTACAGTCCGGGGAAAACAGCCAAGAGGCGGAAAAAAAGGAAAAGAAACGTCAACATCAACATCTAGACCTTCCCAATCTCTCCACTTCCTGTGGGCAAATTGGGCCTGTGCCTTTGCTAGCGTGTCACAGCGCGCTTCTCGAACGAGCCAGCCTTGAAATCGTATGGACAGTCCTTTGCTTTGGCGCAACAGGGTAGCCAAGGAGAGGAAGAACCTGGCTGGATTGAAGCATTTATGCATATAAGAAGCGCAAGCAAATGCGCCTGTATCATACGTTAGAAGCTTAAAAGTATAATAATGCCGGTACAGATGTTGGGCCAGACATGGAAATTGTGCGGCAGTGCAGCGTTTGTGTCAATTAAATGCACACGAATGGTCCTTGTTAATGTTTTTTTTTGTGAAAGCACACTGCGTTCACCTACGTGAATTGAGAATTGAATTGCGATGAGCTGTGCTGTGCACCAGACATCGTTGGAAGATACCGGGTGATCATACCAGATAATTTGTATAAACGGAGCAATAATGATGCATCATCCCACAATTCATCTTGTTCGGCGGCATCGACAGCTCGTATGCCATGTAAAGGCGCTCTCTCGCCTCGGAATCTCCCCTGGAGTGTCGCTACAAAAGCTTGAATTGCCCATGGCAAACGTTTCTGTTCAGGGGAATTGCGATCTCGATCGTAATAGAATCGTCAAGCGTGGCTTGTTAGCACTCCCATCGCATGTTTCCTGTGCTCGTCTGTAATATTCCCATCTCCACCCCGATGATCGGAATTTCGGTTATTGTTCCAGCATGGCACTCGTATAAATAGCACAATTCTTCATGATTTGCCGCCCTCGCCCCCTTTCCCCCCCTCTCTGCAATGTGCGACTGAAACCACTTCTTTCAACAAGCCCAGTGGGACTTCCTCTTCGTTCTTCTTGAATCTTCACCTTTCTTGAAACTCTTCAATTTCCATAGGCAGACAAAGAAGCAGGGTATCACATGTTTTTTGTGCACACAGAGGCAAAAAAAAGTATGGAGTAATGCAGCACTGTCGGGTAGCCCCTTGAGATGCGAGCCATGGTTGCAAACTCCATATAAGAGCAGGGTCGTTGGGTCGGCATGGCTCTGGCTTGCGCGGCGCCCATGTCTCGTCCCTCTCACCACTCCAGGCGCTGTCTCGATGTAGCAGGAGGAAGCGTGATCGTGCTGGCATTGCCGGTGGCGTCGTCTGCTGCAGTTTCCATCCGGCCATCGCCATCTTCGCCGTCGAGCAGGGATCGGTCAATCTTCCACAGTTTGACTCGCTCGTCAACGATGTCGGTCCACTTCCTTATCAGGGGGTGAGCCTTTGCCACATCAGGGAAGAGCACTTGGTCGCTTCCATTGGCTTCGTTGACGTCGTAGGTCCAGTTTCCGTCCGGGGCCCAGTAGTGAGAGCTGAATATCTTGACAACACTGAGCTCCTCTCTAGCTTCTGCCAACAGCTTGGAAGCATCCGCGGCTTCCTTTTCCTCGTTACCGGCCACGCCGTTGAACTTTCTCAGAGCTTCCTCGATGCCTTCCAGGGTGCCGAGTAACTGCCCTGCCGCGAGTCCTATCGTAGCGCCAAGGCTGAAACCCTCGTCGAACCCAGCCTGGATGGTCCGCTCTTTTGCCGCCGAGATGCCTTCTCGATAGCCTGCAGTTGTGTGTTCCGTCTCCAACCGCCACATATCAGATGGGTGATGAGGGTTTTCGGGTCCATCCAGAGACGTAACCAAGGCGGTAGAATCCTCGCCAGATGCCAGCCCTGATTCAGACTCGGGCCCAAAGACATCATCGAGGGAAAAATACACGCCGCCGGAGCCAGAGCCGTCTTCCAGCGCGGCTCTCTGGCCAGCATCGCCGCCGCCGCCGCCCTGCGCGAGGTACTCGTCATCCATCGACTGCTCGACCGGGCGAAAATGCATGTTTTTTTTTTTTTTTCCCTTTTGAAAATATCAGCCTACGAAAAAGAGATACAGTGGCAGGCACATTAGGTACAGAGAAGAAGCAGGCAGCAAGCGCTTCGTTGGCTCCGGACAGGCACTCCGTACCTCAGTAGGCAGTAGTTACGTATGTCGTCCTCTCTCTGTCTCTCTCCCTGTCTCTCTCACTCTCTGAGTCCCAGGATCGAGTGGATTTCCGATTTCTAGGCAGCAGGGGGAGAAGCTGAGCCTCGATCGGTTCGATCTCTACCGCTGATGGTAGAACGCGCGCCGAAATTCTCGCTGCCGCAGCCTTTCGTGCCTTTTTTCGAACTAGGTTGTATTATTCCGAGCTAGCATTTGAAATCCAGCCATGGCTGCCCCCTGCTTCATTAGTCACAATATGCCTAGTCGTGCCAATATTTTCGGCTGAACTACGACACAATAGGGTGGTGTGCCTTACTGTGTGGCTTGCAACGCAACTCTCAGAGACACTGTGCTGGCTGCACAGAAGTTGAAGCAACCAGCGCTCTTGATACAAAGAGCCTTCTAGCAGAGACAGTGCGAATACACTCTCGCTATACTAGCTCCAAAAATAGTGAAAGCCGGGAAAAAAAAGAGGTTGCCCTGCAAACTCACCCTCCCTTGCTTTGGAGGATAAAGCTTTCGAGTTGTCGGTGACACAAACTAGGGGGGGAAAAAAAAGGAAATCCCTGGCGTAAAATCGACACCGCCTCTCGAAGAGACAGGTTTCTCGCCCACGATTCCTGCTCTCTGTCTTTCTATCTCCACGCTTCTTTTCTCGTCATGATTTTCTTTCTTAGAGAAGCCCTTTAGCCTTTGAATCCAGGGGGAAAAAAGGCGAAGGGGAAAAAAAAAGCCCAAGAAATGATGCCACCTTGACGTAGTCGTGCCGACTTCTCCAATATTGCACCTTTTGATACAATCCGTACCTGACACACTTGCTGTATGTATGTGCTGTCATATCAGAAATTCTTTTCCAAGAATAGGTTGCTGTTATCTCGGTGTCTTCCCACCCCTTTAACGGCAGCGTCTGTTCCTGGGCCGCCTCTTGGTATGCATGGTGAGTGAGGCTCTTTTGCCTAGAACTTGATGGTGGTCATCCTGTCTCTCCCTTGTCGTTGCGACACGACACGACACGACACGACACGATGCCGGCAACAACACACGCACGCACGCACGCACGCACGCACGCACGCACGCGCGCACGCAGACGGCCCTCCCTGCTGAACAAATAGTAGGGCAAAACTTGAATTCAAATCATGCCACGTATTCCCTACCCTCCGGCTTTCACCGTTTCCATTAATCATCTGCCCTTGTGGCGGTCAACAACTGGGCTCCGCAGCAAATCGTCCATGCATGAGCTGTTTATGGCGCATGGCGTCAACTTCATCCCAAGGCGGTCAGAGGATGTGAGAAGAGGCCAATGTCGGGTCAATGCTTGCTCGTCCTGCTCGTCCTGCCTGCCCTGCCGCCTTGCTTTCTGCTTGTTTGCTTTTTTTTTTTTCCCGCCCTGGCTGCCGCCTGCGTGCCTGGTCTGGGGTGTCCAGCCGGTCCCCATCCAGTCGTCGTCGTCGTCGTTGTTGTTGTCATCGTCGTCCACCACCGCTACTACAACAACACCACCACCACCTTCACCAACATACCAGCCAAACACCGTGCCTGCTCCAGTCCGACTCCGTCTTTCTGCTTGAACGGTTAAAGACTTCCATCACATGGAAGGATCGCTCTCCGGAAAAAGACATGGATAGATGCAGCGCCACGACAACAGCAACAACAACACCCTCGCCCACCAGCAGGTCGCGGCACACCAATAGTTTCGTCCGCCTTGCGGTGAGAAAGAAGCAATCATGCAGTCCCTGATGAGTTGTCTCATGTGGCCAGACCAAACAAAGCTTGCCGAGTTTCTCTCACATCCCCATCCTGGGTCAGAAATGGTAAAACCCAACAGTATGTCGTAGAGGGGATATCTGCCCGAGCGGCTGAGACCTTGAATCAAGCCTATCACGGACCCCATCGTACCGGAGCTATGGGAGGATCGGATCGGCCCCACCTACTGCCCATGAAGCGGGACGACGGCGCTCCATGTGGCTTTTCTTACTGTATCATGTAGGTGTATGTATGAGGACTCCGTAAGCTCCCTCGTGATCTCATCTCTGGCGCGCGGTCTCTCGAAGAGGGCCAACGGATACCCAAGAGTGGTCGCCTGTGCCCATTCGAGAAAACGTGCCAGCAGCTGAGTCGTCCCCCCGGGCCCCGTTCAACGTCAGGCAAGGGAGCCATCCGGGCATGGATGCCTTTACAGCTTGCATTTGCCATGCCATGTCGTGTTGTGCTGTTCCTGTGCCTCTGCCAAGCTCCAGCTGAGCGTCGAACCAGGAAGCCGTACGCTCATCCAAGAGTGGGCTCCGGAGATCGCTTGAATGCCATTGTCTCGTTTTCCTGCCCCATCCACGACGAACCACTTGTTAGAGAAGAGTGCGTTGTTCAACGTCTAAGGTAAGCAAGGCGCTCTCTCTCCGTCAAGGCCCGCTCATCTTGCCACCAGAGTGATGGGCCGGCGATGCTTTCTCCAACTACGGAGTACTAGTGTTAGCTTATCAGCGGCCTCCCCTCGCACCCCCCTACCCCATGACATCTCCCTGTCTGTGGCTAGGTTCAGACTCACCGAGTTCTCGAGTCCTCGAGCCGTCGAATTTCACCATGAGGTAGTATATTGAGAGAACAGCGTGAAAGGGGGAAGAAAGTCTCGATGTGAAAGCTGCAGCCACCGTCACAGATAGAGAGGGTGAGGCTCGGGGAATTTTCTTTCGTTCTCCCGGATTCACGCCAGTGCGTTAATCGTTAGTGCCATTTTTCGAAAGCCAAAACGCGGCCCACAAGGGCAGCAGTAGCGAATTCTCTTGGTTGCCAGACAGGGGAGGGGACGGGGGGGACGAGGGACGGGGGTCCTGTACGAAGTATGTCGTAGTGGCGACGCAGACATCGCCTGCCTACCGCGGCACGGAGCAGAGAGCACGGAGCAGGCATAGGGCGGGACTTGACTGTGCTGTATGATATGATACTGCGCCTGTACTTTGTACGGTGCTTTAGTTGGGGACGTTGGAAGCCCGCGTCGAACAACCCCCGGAATGCCGTTCTTGCGAGACACCCCATTCCTCGGGGTCGCCCGTTCCTGAGCTAGAAAGGGTCGAGTAGGATTCGACGCCCCCCTCCCCACCCAGCTGTCATTGCCCGCTGGCACAACGAGGGTTCCAGAATGTTGATGAAACGTCGCGTTTCGCTGCCTCTTTTCTCAACCGGCTAACTACCGAAAAGGGGGCGGGGAAGCGGCCAACAGGGGTTGAGGCTTCTCGGGATCCGGGCCGTGCACGTCATCAACTCGCCTTTTCCTCTCTCTCTGGTCTCGTCACTCAACGGGTTTCAAACGAGGCAAGGGAAGGCCAGCCCATGGTTTCCAATGCGCGCTATGGGCGAGGGTGGTGTGTATGCTCCGTACAAGTACTCGTACTCCATATATTGCCCCCATATGTGGGTTCCATGTGCGTGTGTCTGTGGGATATGCGCGTGTGAACTGTCGGATTCCTTCTTGAGAAGCTGCGAATGTGGTTCGAAGGCCAAGTGTGTCGATTCTGGAATGCCGTGCCGGGCAGTGATGTGTGTTTGCGAGTAACGCTGCTGCCCTCCGGTTTGCGACAACCGCCATGCCGATTGATTTTTTTGCTCCACAGCCCTTTGGTCATTGCTGTCCCGGCCCAACGTGTCTTCCCGCAACCCAACGCGCGAGGTCTAGCAGCGGCTTCTAGAAAGACTGGGCTGTCCTGCATCCATGCCCCCGGCTCATCCCCTACCCTTGCACAAGACCCTTCCCGCCTAATTCCCAAAGCTTCCCACCCCCACTGTAGCCACGACGCCCAAGTTGTAGAGCGTTGGGCCAACCCTAAAACCATTAGGTTCGCTCAACACCAAGCAACCACGCCTTTCTCGTCGTACTCATCTCCTTGGTACTCTCGTACTCGTAGTCACGTCCGCCCGGGTTCGGAAAGCAGAGACCTTGCCCTTTTCCGACAAGCCTTGCCATACCCATCAGCTCTCGTCTCGACGCCTCCGTTATCTCTTCCTCCTCGTCCCGCGTACCGCTTGTTAGCGCCCTCCGAAAGGCCTCCCGGTCTCACACCCATTCCGTCGCCCGCCTCTCGCCGATACAAGGCAAACACTAAGAAAAAAAGAAAGAAAAAAAGGAAAAAAAAAGGACACCCCTGTCGATCACACAAGGGTAAAAAAATTCCTGCAGGGGCCAACAGAAGTGCATCAGGGGTTTGACTGACCGCCAAGGGTAGACCGCAATATCGGGTGCCGCAATCATAGCAAAAAATAAGCCCGACCAGCAAAAGGCCACGCGAGAACCCAGCGAACAGGCGGCGAGCTCTCAAAAGAAGGCTCTCACCGAGTCGGTGTGGAAACAGTTTAAAATATCAGACCGTTCCCGCAACTCCGTCCACTTTTTCGTTCCTTCATCCAACAAGACAAAAAAACGGTGCCCTTTGAGCAATCCATCTTAATCCGACCTCTCCTTCCGTTTCCCGAGCTTCCGGACGTCTCTGTCCAGTCTCGCCTCGCCGCATTACTGCCGCCAGCACCACTGCAACCACTATCCAACTCTCTTTTCTTCTTTTTCTCTCTCTCTCTCTCTCTCTCTTCTTCTTCTCCACAAGCCAAAATGCGCGGACCATATGACACCACTGGCATCATCAAGCCCAACTCTCCTCAGCCACCAAAGCCCAAATAATGAATTCCTTTGTTCCTGGGTTGGCCTCTTCATCTTTCGCTTGCTTTCCCTTATTCTTCACTTTGTGACACGCTGTACCAGTCAGGTAAGCCCCCTACCCCTTTTACTCGCACACCCTTTGTGTCACGTTTTCGGGAGCATTGCTGACGGCGGCCTTCCTTGCAGGTGTCTTTTAATAGTAATACGTCGATCGAACCAAGCTCTCGATGACGATCGGGTTTCAAACGACTCGGGCGTTTCTTGGTAATTGCGGCCATCTTTTTTTTCGACTGTTGATAATACTTTTGGGTTTCGGATAATGAATCGGTTTTGGGAGCAAGAGAGGGAAAATAGACTGGGAAAATTGGGTCAGGAGCTATCCGTCTTGGACCCCACGGACGAAAAGGCGATGCCGTGATATAGAGATATAATCATCCACATGAGCCCCCATGATCTGGGTAATGTTTCTTTTGTTGCATACTGGGCGCCGCCGCCGCCAAACGCAAATTAATGTCTATCTTATTGAAGATTCTTTTGTTAGAATATGATGAAACAGAAAGCAGAGAGTTGAACCATACCTGTCTGGAAAAGTTTTTTTTATGTGTCTGTGTGTTCAAACGAGCTCCTCACTGTCTTTGTGTGACCCGATGAGTCTTGGCAAGCAGATTGGTCAGTCTCGAAAAGCAACTGACTGTGTTGACCTTGTGGCGGACTTTTGGGACACCAAGGGTCCGCGTATGAAGAGAAGGGGAAGCCTGAGTTGGATCATGTGTGAGAGGCTAACGAAACGGAGACGTCGTCAGCGCCGTGGGTGGAGAACGCGCCAACCGGCGAAGTGGGACTTGATATGGCCGGCACGGCGTCGGGGCCTCCCTAGTAGGGCACCGGCGTACGACGGTTGGGCCCTGGGAAATGCGGTGATTGCTGCCCATGACCCGTTCCACCATGATGCCGTATGGGGACGCATGGGCCCTGCGGCAGGGTGGTACATGGGGAGAGGATGGAGAGGCTGGGGGGCTGCAAGCGCAGGGCTGCCATCCTCTTGCATGGCTTCTGGATCTCGCTGCCACCCGGCTGGCTGGCTCGAATCGCTGATCTCGATGCCCCGGCCGGCTACTGCATCTCCAGCATGGGCAGGTGGATGTCTGTGGATGTTTGTGGACTTTGATGCGCCAATGCTATGAGTGCGGGATGCGGGACGGTGCACCTTTTGCATCTCGGACACACGCACTAGATGGGATGCCGGGACGAGATTGGGTTTGGTGTGGCAGCGGCGGTGGTTCTGTCAGAGGCCAGCCATGTGGTCGAGCCCATCCACGCGTTCATCTGTGCGCCCACGTGTGCGCCCGTCTGTACAGGAGGCCCATCATCCGCGTGGCCATCTGGGTGCGTGTCTGCTCCCCTGCATGTCGGCTGTGCGTGTGTGTGTATGCGTGTCTTGGTCGGCAAGGTAGGGTAACAGCAATGGTAGACTGTGTGGCCATGATGGCGGCTTAGCCTGTGCCCGTACCGTCCCGTCCGGCGCACCGTTGAAAACTGGGAGGGCGGCAGGGCAAGCCGAGAAAGAAGAGAAGCCAAACGGCCGTGTGTTATGCCATGGCAGGCCTGGGGTTCGGGTTCAGTTTCAGTCTCGGCGACGCAGGTGGATGATGCGTCCTTTTATACCTTGCCATGAAGACGGCCGTTTCCTCTGACCCCCCTCCCTTGGTCCTTGGTGTCCCGCGACCCTTCTGTCTTGGGCTGCGATTGTGATGGCTCGCAAAAGCCGGCATGACTTGGGCCAATGCAAAGGTGACTTTTCCTGATCCGTGAAGCTTTGTTGGTCGCGAGCAGATGGCAGATGATGGTGGGGTTTGTGGCCGAATCGGTAGTATTCATTGGAAATCCATTGGAAATCGTCATACGAAGGTGGTGGGGGCGGGGTTGGGAGAAGGTGCATCTTCATGCAGTTGTTGTTTCCCATGCCATGCATGCCGCCAAGAGCATCGGATGGGATGCGGATGGCAATAGCCTCTGTTTTTCTGCGCCTGTGTCTGCGCCGGCGCCTTCTTTCTCTTCTCGACCTGTCTCGCTTGTTGCGCGTCCTCTCGCTTCTTGTGAGGGAAGGATGAAGGGGGAAAAAGTCTCCGTTTACTTTTGCGATTTCCCTTTGCCTTTCACTTCTTTCCCTCTCCCTCCCTCTATTTTTCTCTCCGATTCGTCATCGTTTCGTCTCGTCATCGTTTCGTCTCGTCTTACAGGCTGTTGTTCCCCTCCCCCCTTTCGCTGGCTGCATTTTAAGCATCAAGAGGGCTAGGCGATGGGGAACGTTCTTTTTTTTTCTTCTCGACGGGAGTGACGATCCAACGCTCGACTTTAATCCCTGTTGCCATTCTCTGCAGACAATCCCCGGTACCTGCATTGCGGTCCAAAATGCCGCCCACGTCACTTTGCGCGTGGCCACGCCTCCTCATTCATCGACAGGCCCAAGGCTCGCAACATCGCCTGATTTGCCCGTCACTTTTGGTGGCGTTTGCTGCAGAAAAAAAATTGCGACCCGTCTCTGGAAGCCTCGGATCAGGGCACGATGCTGCTGATGGCGTGTTCCATGTGTTCCATGTTGGCATGGAGGCTGATGGGAACATGATGCTCGGCACCACGTTGGTTGGACGACTGGCACGAGTACATACTCGTACATAGCCGCCGGGCTGTTTGCGCCCAATACTCGTACTCGTCGTGCTCGTGCTTGTTCCAAACAGGCTCTGCATCCTGCCCGGTCTCTTCGTTGAACCTTGCTTCTCTCTCAATTCACCCTCCCTATCAAGCCACGACGGCCGCCAGCCCCCTGTCTTGACGCAGCTCGTTCCAAATGTGGGCGATGAATAGCCGCTTGGGAAAATGCGCTACCAGCCGGATGGTGGTACTCCGCTGCGTCAACGAATAGAAATGACACACATCCAGTGTACCATCGTCCTCACACCCATAACGCGGTAGGGCCGTATCTGGGCCGCTTTGGGCCAGCTCTCAAACGCAGGAGGCTTTGTACACTCGGCCAGGCCTGGGCCATGAGGATGGACTGGGACGTCGCGAGCAAAAGATCAATCTGCTGAAAGCTGCGAATATACTGTACAAAGCTTGCTCCCGGATATATTCACAATGCAGAGTGTGTTATCACGACACGAAAGCAAGAGCGCATGATGCTACAGTATCTTTGAATTACTATGGACAAGCCCCTTGTTGGTACCTAATACCGGAGGAGGCTGTCTCGAAATGTCGTCGGCCACGACGTATAAACAAGATGGATATGCTTCTTGCCCTTTTCGCCCCCTTTCTGGAGGGTTCTTTTTTTTTCTTCTTGATTCGATTTCCCCCCTCTGGCCGAAAAAAAAAAGCTCTCCAACATGCCTGGAACCATACAATGCATTATCTTGAGACATGATGCGGTTCTATGAACTCTTCAAGCATTCATTCCATCAACAAGCCCAACATCGCAAGCATCGCAAGCATTGTGCCATTCTCAGGCTTGGCATCTCCAATGTATCCAACGTGTCCGGCTCCATATCGAGCGAAAACAACAGGCGACTCATTGAAGCCGACGATTGATTTGGGACTTGGTACACGATGCTCGACAGCAGTCTGTTCAGTTGAGAGGTACCACGCCTCACGCTGCTGCATTCCGTAAATAGAGAGGGCTGTTTGGCTATACGCAGCCGGGAGTCTGCTCTGAAGGGTCGAGCTGACTGCTTGAGAATTCAGGGATAGCGTGGATTGTTGGTAGGTTCCGATTCCCCATGGAAGATCCCACGTCTGCTTCATGATCTTTTTCAAGCTTTCTAGGCTGGAGGTAGCAAAAACGCCGCCAAAAACGACGATGCCACCACCCGCAGCATATTGCACGAGCCTCTGCGATATGACTTCGCACCTAGCGTGAGCAATGCCTCCGTCGGCCACAAATATAGCGTGTGGCTCTGAACATTGGGTGAACAGAGTAAATGCCTTCTCCGTCGTCTTTGCGTGCCATATGGTTGCTCTCTCGAAGAGCTCGTTCAGGAAGCTGGCGTGGGATTCCTGAAAAGTGAGCTGCGTCTGATCATCACCCAGGGTGAGCACGAATATGAGAGGTTTGGCTGGTCCGGCAGCCGAGTCTTGGGGAATGATGCCCATGCTGCTTCTGGAATACATTGAAGGAGGTGGACGAAACGAGTCGATTCCAAATGGAAGAGCGCGTTGTGTATGCCGATGCCCAAGGGGTCTAGTTGAAGGAACGGGCAAAAGGAATTTTATATTCTCTGGAACCTGGCCGTGCCCTCGGTGGCCTTGGGGAGCTCTCTATCTTTCACAATGCTTCCTGGCCTCTGTCTTTTCCAGGATGCTTGCAAACCGGTGGCCGACATAATGCATGTCGAGGCGGGCCGCACGACCAACTCGACCCTCGCCAACAGCATGAAAACTCCACCCCTGGACGGCATTCGAGTCGTCGGGTTCTCATATATGCTGTGCACCCACAAGTCTCATACGATTATTAGGTTTGTGTCACCAGCAAGCTTCCCTTGTCCAACATATACGGTACAGGGGAGGCTAGTCTGAAGTGCCCTGTCTTGCGGCTTCCATCTAGCCATTCACACGACAGACCTTGCTCATATTCAGGCACGTCTAATCCCGCGCAAAGTAAATCTCGGTACAGCATGTATGCTTGTACTGTTGCGCGGCAGTCGGTCATCAAGTGAAGCAGGCAAGCCAGGCCGGCCATTCGTCCTGAAGGCGCCCGAGCAACAGTACAGTAGCTGCATGCATCGGACTCCTCCAGAGCGGCCTGCGTCCATGGTCCGTTGGCACTTCAGCCGTACTGGATCCACAAATACATTTCAACAGTCCATGGATGAGAGTAGACCGGAGCTGGCGTGACGTAGGAGACTTTGACTTGGCCTATCCGTCCGACTTATGCAGTGCCATCAACACGACAACGACTAAAGGGTTTCACTCTCCACTTTGGGAGGATTGAAATTACAATGGGCGATGAGAGGAGGCGAATGATACTAGTATTTGGACTTTCAACCTCTCCTCGGCGTCGTACAAGTTGTATGTGACGACCTCTCGGGGAACAGATTCACGCACTCTTACTTGACGGGATCCCCTGCGCCACCAGAAATATTGAATGGGTACCAAGCCTCTTTGATCGGTAAAAACTTCTGAATATGGCTCTGTTTCCACCACCCACTCGTGCAGGCGCGGCAGGATTAGCCATGTGCATGATGGGGGTCAGGCACACGAAAGACCAGACCGCTTCCCCCAGCTGCGATCTGCCAGGAGACAGTAGGCCCATTCCGTAGCAAATCAACTTGGTTAACTGCTGCTGAGATTCTACGACTTTGTTTTTCCAGAGTCTGAATAAGCATCCGAGGCAAAGCTTGGGTGACATTCGCAGCACGGCTGCATCTTCGTGCTCTAGCTAGCAACTCTGCGAAGCCTGATCTCGGCCATACATTCATGTATCACAGCATGTCAAGAGGGCTAGAGATGAAGTGCGTGGCCAAGTCATTCACGCAAGAATGTGCTTTAGAGGGGGATGCAAGTCGGCGACCTGGGCAAACTACCCAACGGCGACTATTGGCAAGCCACTCGAGTGGAGGTGGGTTTCCTAGGCGTTCCTGCTGGTTCTAGGCCTCGCCTGGGGCTGGATGAGGCAAACTTCATGATGCATTACATGCTTCTGCTGCCTCGTTTCTTGGCGAAAGCTCTCCTTGGGGTTTCCGTCTGGAGCTGATGAGCCTTGGTACCCTTCCGAGGCCACTGTCGAGATCCTCGCTGTACGGCCGTGATAGCTTGTAGACCATGGCCACCATGTGTAGACGTAGGGGGAAGATCAAGGGCCCGCCAGCCTCTCAACTTCCTCTTGCTGCTAGTATTATGCGATTAGGTGGTACTCCATCGTGAGTGGGAAATAACGGGGTGGGGCCGATTGGAGGGGCCGGGTCAGCACCGGTGTGCCAGGTTTGTCGACTGCCAATGACGGGGTCTCCAGGCTGATGGTGGCGGCAGGCCTCAGCGAAATGAGCACGCTTGGTCCATGCTCGAATCTTCCGTTAGGCAGGCAGTTCATGCTGAGGCACCAGATGAGTGCTACCTGGTGTGAGCCGTCCTGATCTGTTTGTGTCTCCGTGACTGACCCGCAACGACGGAACGCCTTAACTGTGTCCAATAAGCTTGGAGTTGGGCTCGTGTGAGTGGCTGGCGATTCCACGCAACCCCCCCCCCCCAAGGGGCTCAGGTATCGTCTAGCATCATGCAGACTCGGTGAGTCGCTTGCAGAGGGGTTGATTGGCTCTCATTTGCCAAGTTGAGTTCATTTGACATGCCGTCATGCCAATCTGACCACCACCACCGTCACCACCACCGTCACCACACCAAAGCTGGATTTCGGGATGCTTGCCTTGACCTCTCCTTTCTTTGGTTTCTCCGGCACAAACCCCATAGGGCTCCAACTACTACCCATATGGCCAGGGACAAGGAGCCGGAATAAATTGTGCGGGGATGCGTGTGAATCCCGTTTGGAGATCCAGGGGACTAGCCAGCTGCCGAGGCGTGCGCTAATGCCTTTCTGGCCACATCTGGCCAGGGATAAAGCAAACATCTGGGCTTCAGGTGCCTTTTCCCGTTTGTCCCTTCGATTCGGCTGGATGCTGCACGTCCCGTCCATCGGAACCAGGATCAAACGGCGCTTATCAGGCAGCTGCTCCCATCGGCCCCGGTTACAGCCTATGGAAAGGTGGTCTGATGCTGCGTGGCTGCAGATCGCGAGGAGAGGGATGAAGTCACAAGGGTCCCATTGTTGCCCATGAGAGCAACTATTTGTCGGTTCGAGTGGACCCTTGACATGGCTCTGCGTCTATGCAGACGAGCTCTAGGCAGTTCGCACGATATCACGGCTCGGACAAGTTTATGCGGCTTGTTCTAGGATGGATGAGTTCCACCCGTGGTTAGTATTTCGTGCTG